GCCTACACACGCACCGGCGAGGAGCTGCACTCGTTGCAGCAGCCCCGGGCCGCTGACTGTCATGTGATCTTCGTGCACTCGTTGCTGTCGGGACTGTTAAGGGTCAAGCTGCAGGGCCCGCCCGGTCGCATGAGCTTTGCCACGCCCCTAGTGGATGGCATGGTGCTGAGTCGACGCGTCGTTGGCAATCTGGTGCGTCAGACGGCCCTAAACATATCCCGCAGACGGCGACTGGACAACGATAAGTAAGCTTTGACTCACAGCTAAGGAATTATTCGAAATATTATTGGTTTTTTTTTGTGTTTGTGTACAGCTATCAACCGCCGCATGTGCGACGCCGCTTGAAGGTGCAGGACATTGTCCAGAAGTACAAAATGGATTTGAGCGAGGCCGAGCTGCTGGCCCATCTGTTTCAGCGTGCAATTTAGCCGGGCGTTGGCAACACAAGTATTTACTAAACCTAGTATTAAGAACACCACCAAAATGGCTTGTCCATGTCTGTATTATCGTGTGCTTAACTAAAATCTACCAATCATTCTACCCGATTCCCGAACCAAGGGGCAAACGGTATGGGACTCACTGCAAGGCTCCCCCAAGTATCGATACCGATACATTTATCGATGACTCTTGCAGCTATTCTAATTTGTATTTATATATCTTTTTTTTACTAATAAATCGAATTATTATACTTTTTAAAAGTATAAGCAGCGCTGTACTTAAATTCATGATCTTCGTCTCCCTCTTGGGTAGTCTGTGTAGCTGGTGAAGAGGAAACCGTGTAAAGTGGGTCAAACATCCGAAAACAATTTGGCCCCACGGCTATGTGACACACACACACAAACACAAACAGCTGAGAAGATCGCGTGAAGCAAAGTGAAAGTAAAATGAATCAAATTTCGGATATGTAACATGTAAATCGTTGGATGAATCAATATAATGCAACTAAACGGAGTTAGAATTTGGCACAGCTGAGATCATTAAGTGCCCATGATCGTATTGAGTCTGTGTGGCATTCAATCAGAGAAATGATTCATTAAAAACAACTTCAAAATACAAGCTCGACGCGGCGCGTGTTTTCTTCGAAGGTCGTGTGCCGTATTGCGTGGAAAGGTGGAAACTTGGAAACCTCTAATTTTGTGGGGGATTTTTGTAAGCTGTGGAATTGGGTTCGGCATTGAGCCGGTCCAACAGTTTGCAACGCCTTCAACGATGGTTAATCAATTCAAATTGTTGCTGCTGCTGAGGGCCATCAATGAAAGTCGTGATATAATAATAATAACAATAAAATGAAACCACCACAACAAAGTTATATCTGTTCGTTGTGTTTTTGCTTGTGTTTTGTTTTGCATATCGTTGATGTATTTATTTATTAACAAAATAATTTAAATTAACAATGAAGAGGCGCTTTGAGCCCATGGGTTGTTTTTCTTTTCTTTTCTTTTTTGTTTGTACTTTGGTCACAAAGCAATGACAGTGCGAAGGACTAGCCTATGAAAAAAAATAATATAAAATAGATAAATTTATAGTTGATAAAAAAAAAGTATTAATTTGGTCTAGCTAACTAAGCTGGTAGCGGTGCCACTGGTGCCACTACCAGGCGGAAGAAGGTGGACCTCCGCTGCTCCAGCCAGCGCTGGGAGCGGGGGAACCACCGCTGCTCCAGCCACTGCCGCCATGGGAGGAACCGCCACCGCTGCTCCAGCCACCACCGCCATAAGAGGAACTGCCGCCATTGTTCCAGCCACTAGCAGCAGCGCCAGACTGCACATGTTGCTGCTGCTGCTGATTGTCCTGGACGCGCATCACCTTCAGTGTTCCACGCTGCACAACGTGACCGCTCTTGAAGAAGGCACCCTGAGCCTGGTCGGCCTTCATGATGATGGCATTGCCCTTGCTGCCGTATGCATTGATCAGCTGGCCATTGATGGCGCCCACACCAGCTGAACCGCCGCCAAAGGCATCCTCTTGCAGCACCAACTGCAGAATCTGTGGCAGAATTGCATTGAACTGCTGCACATCGTAGGATGAGGAGCCGCCATAGCCATGGCCAGAAGCATACGATTGTCCATAGGAGTGGGATGAGTGACCCTGGTCATAGGAGTAGCCAACGCCACCACCACCGCCGCCGCTTACTGCGTGGTAAGCAACTGGAGCTGGAGCTGGAGCTTGCTCGATGACTTTAAAGACTTGCTCCTGCTGACCGCCATAGGAGCCGTGACCATGACTGTGGCTGTGGCCGTGATCATGACCATAGCTGTGTCCACTGGCCACGATGCCACCTGCTGATCCACCAGCATTGCTGTAGCCTTGTCCCTCCTGCAGAATGACTTTAATGATCTGGGCTGAGCCACCGCCTCCGCCGCCTCCATGCGAGTAGCCATGACCATGGGCATATCCATGTCCACCGCCACCTCCTCCATGACCTCCTCCATAACCACCTCCATGACCACCTCCGTGACCGCCTCCATGACCTCCTCCAGAGGTAGGCGTGGCGATTACATTGTAAGTGGTCTTGCTTCCTCCTCCGCCGCCGCCGCCGCCGCCGCCAAGTAACGACAGGAAGGTGGCATTGCAGGCGCAGACCGTGGCCAAGAGGCAGATGAAGACCTAACCGTCATAGAGAGTAACCGTTCCGTTTAGTATGTTTATCCATTTGTTATCCAAAGATTCCGGTTGATCCGTGATGCGATCGACTTACCTTCATGTTAGCTGGAATCGTTGACTCTCTCGGAGATTCTCTCTGGTTGTGTGTGTGTGCGGTGCGGAAGGAACACCTGTGCGCGTCGAGCTGTTCCCGGTAGGTGAATGATGCCCAGCTACGCGCTTCCCGTAGCTTTTATACATAGATCGGATATGGGCTGCCCATTGGCCCACTCCCGTTAGAGGCGACGCAACCCGCGAGAGATGGAGATGAAGAGATGGCAATGGCAATGGAGAGATGTGTGACGTCAGCGATGAAGAGCTGCCGATATGGACTCATCGTAGCTGCTGGGCTGCTGCTCTTGCAACTCACATTGGATGCTTGAACACTCACGCACGCATCTGAATGGGAGCGGGCCGGCCTACCCGCCACCCAAAACAGGGTGTCATTTCGGAGATAATTTATGCTTCACTCGGGCACCGTTAGGTTAATCCACTTTGTCGGTGAGGCACCCGTTTCCGCGTTGCCATCGTCTTCAATGGTCAAATAATATGCAACACTAACAACGCCGGCGGAGACAAGCAAACAAAAACAAACAACTACAAACAGATAACACACAAGCCTAGGCAAACCGACCAAACAGCTGTGTAGCGGGGAGGGGGCTCTGTCGGTCAAGCAGGGCAGAGGCAGAGCCAGAAGCTGAGACAGAGGCAGAGGCAGGGCCAAACGTTGACGATGGCATAGACCGCAACCGCGACTGACCGGCTCTTTGCATACGATTATCGATTTGGGCGCATCGGTGAGCTCTCAGTCGAGTCGGATGGGATCGGATCGGATCCACATCTGCCTCTTGGGTCGTTCGGATTGCAACAGCTCTTCGTGTGCTCACACACCTATGCACATGTGTCGATTGGGCCAATCTTTTGCGCTCTCTGGGAAAGAAACGGATTGGCAGCCGGACACCGTAGCCCGAGTCGACAGACGGATTATTATATCATGCAACATAATTTGAAATTTGTTAATTTTGTGTGCATTTTTGTATAAATTATTTAATGCGCGCTGTTGCGCATGTTGCCCCGACCACAGACCGAACCAGACCTTCGAACCCCCTCCGACCCAGTGTAGTCTCTTTTTCTCTTCTCTTTGATTTGCTGATGACCCGTTACCCGGCTCTATTACAAGCTCCATCCTCACACACACACACACACACACACACACAAACAGCACACACAGAAATATTTAAGCGTTCGGCATTTTAGCACCTTGTTGTTTCTGTAGCTATAGCTGTTTCGGTTTCTGTTGCTGTTGCTGTTGGGGCAGGCCAGTCAGTCTCCCAGGTCTCTGAATGGAAATCAGAGTGATCATAATGAGGATGATTTGACGTGGTGTGTGCAAATACTTGGCCTGATCAATGGCCCATGCAATGGCCGGCTCCAGTCCAGTGCCGACGCTTGAGTCACCTTATGCAACAGCGATATTGGTTTACGATATGTCATAAAACACACAAATGTATGTACATATATTTAAATGTATAAATTTAAATGTTTTTTTTTTGACCGGAATTCCTAACGCTGATGATAAATCTGCACGTACATATGTATTTGTGCCACACAAATGTAAGCCAATCCGAATTCCAATCCAAATTTTAGCTTAGTGTTCATTCTCGAAAGGGTTTTTTCATAATTAATTGAATATTCTTGGAAAGGCGAAAGTTTGCCTAGGCCACAAATACCTACAATCTTACGCAAACTAATTCCACATATTATTAAACCTGTAGAGGGAAATGTTTCGACGCAAAGTTGGAAGCTACAAATATCTAGCAATAGAGTGCTAACAATACAGCTCAAGTCTTTAGCTTTCCAGTAGGTATGTAAATTATTTGTTTGACCAAATGGAAGTACAACGGAAACAGCGGGTTCGCACATGCTTCTTCCTATTCGTGACAAAAACAAGAACAAGTGCAAGAAAACAAGAAGCTGTCGTTGTCTTTCGTGTAACAAACCAATCGATCTAAATGGCTGCACTGGAGGACTGGAGGCTGGATTACTTTTGCGCTTGCAAGTCCTGTGGAAGCTCCCAAGCCAGTCTAGGTGCTTCTGCTGATCTCTTCCTATGGTGCGTTGCGTGCGGAATTCTTCTGCACTAAAGGACACAGAAATTCAAGCATTAGACATTAAAAGCATTGAAAATAAGAAGCCTCGCTTCTAATTTATGTAATTAATTAATCTAAAACTAATCTAAAATTAATCTAAAAATTAATGGCAAACTATGTCTGCCTTGACAAGAATTAATCGAATGTATTGTTGAATGTTGAATTGAAACACACATTTACGAATGTTAATTGATTCTGCTGGTGTCAAGTATCAAACTCGGCTTATTGATCATCATCAGCTAGTTCGACGTCACGGTTCGCCATACAGTAGGGACACTCGCGAAAGTCCATCAGGAACGCCTCCTATGGACACATGCGATGTTCGAAAAAAGCAACAGCAAGCAAACGCAGGCAATGACTCACCGCTGGATGCTTCTCGCATTTGGCGGCAATGCGTCCACGGAAGGACTGGTGGCAGCGGCCACACTCGAGGAGCTTCATTGGACGGTCGCATATGCATATCTTGACAATGGTTTTCTTGGTTTCCATATTCGGATTGATATTCTGCTGCTCGAATAACTCCACATTGTTGTTGACGTCCACCTCCACGTATTCCTTGACGGCATTCTTCAATCGCCTTTGAGCCAGGGACATGTTCTACGCCTTACGCACGTTGGTCACGTCACGCGGGGACGGTGAAGTTAGATTCCCGTAGCGAGCGTTCAGACGTGCGAAAATTGAATTCTGTTCAGTTCCCTCTGATTTTGGGATTGTAATTATATTATTATACACATTTCTCACGGCTCTCTTGTATGCAGAATTGTTTATTTACCCATTATGCTGTTGATTTACACGATTTTGTTGTTTTTAGTTGGTAAAACCGCGCCCAAGTGATAATTTATTGAAGTGCGTTCAGTTGCCACAATTATGCGCGGTGTACGCTTATTCAAAAGATGTCTAAATTGAAATATTAGCAAGAGCAATCCACAAATTGCGCCTTTGATTTTGTTTTACTTGTCCTGCCATTGTCATTTCAAGTAACGGTAATCACCAGTGCTGTGAAGCGCAGGATCCGTGAACGTATTAACTATCGAAAGCAATGTATCGCACTGAATAATTTGCAAAATTTAATAAAACTTCATTGAATTACACTTTTTTGTTCACAAGGGCACTGCAGCTGAATACAATTTAAACATGGTATTTGATATATCTAGAAATATTTTTAAATGCAAAAGGAACACAGGAATCGATTTCTGGACACCTGCAACACTAAAATGGTTTTTTGTTTGTTTTGCAAGCCTTCACACTATAGTCATCCCCTTCACACACGCGCTGCAAACATGGTACATGCACCGCAGAAGAGCACAGACATGGAGCCCAATGACTTAAAACCAATGAGAATGTGCGAAATGCACTACTCTTCTCACAACTGACACTATGGCGGAGTTCTCTGTTTTCTTTGCATCATGAAACACATGCTTATGTGTCTGTATATTTGCATGTACTTTCTGAAGCAGCAATTTCAACAATTTGTATGCACATGCTGCTTCATGGGTCAAACAAGGAGTTAAGTAAACATACTGTATTTGTAAGTATGTATGTAGGTATGTACATACATGTCCGTCTTGTTGAGCGCCTGGATCTCAGAGATCATAAAGGCTAGAGCCACAAAATGTTGCATTCAGAGTTAAGTTAAAAACCAATTTTTTCACTAGACAAATTATGAGGTTAATTGGAGTGATAAATTATTGTCATTCCTTTGGCCCTTGGATATGCGTAGGAGTTACTTCTGCCAAGCCTGGGAACATCTGTGAGTCAACATGCAAATTTCCGAATCGCCATTGTCCTAGCTAGAACCGTTCACGTAGCACATACATACATATATTTGTGCTTAAGCATTTTTAATGCATTGAAAAAAAGAGCATTACATATTTTTGTGGGCACTTATCAGGCTTTAAGCATATCAATATGTAAAATTATTTGTATACATTTTATGAACTTTGCCTGTCGAGTTGCCCGTGCAAATATATTCACCAATGGTTGTGTTTGTAGTTTTCGGCTAGCTACACATTCCATATATAGTCTCTATAGGAAAGTCACTCTTCTGTTGGAATGGGCCGGAATCTGGAAACGATTCGCAAGTGGACAGGCAAGTCCACTGAGCACGACGAGAATGTACCTCTTCCCGATCCCATATGGCCCGCAGGGCGTGTGGCCTACTGGCTCATTGTTTTCATCGTCGTTGGACTTTTGTATTATTGGTTTTATATTCTCCTCCATGCGGATTCTGGCGAGTGCAACGAGTACGACTTGCAGTGCGAACATTGAGGTGGTAAAAACTGTCTGATCGATACAATTTTAAACATTAAAACCATTAAACAAGAACGATGGGAGGGAGAGCTTGATCATACCGATGAGAACTTTATTATATAGCAAACAGATTTGGAGCAATTTTTGTGAGCTTTATAACAACATCTTAAAACCTTTGTTGAACTTTTGAAATTGGATAACTAAATGATATAATATGATTAAAGCATATATGCGGGTATCTGGTAATTGGAATAGACGCTGGAAAACTTGATGACCCAACCGACACCGTCGTAATTTACAGTCTTATGGAATCGGACGACAAGTTTGCTACTCTCGCTCTTGTAGACACGCGGGGCGTCATCGCCGCAGAATCGTCGCATCTCTCGTTCCTCGCCACTGCCCGCTTGCTTCTCCAGGATCTGCAGATAGTCTGTGTGGCAGGTGCTTCTCGAACCCAGGTCGAAGGCTGGCCAAAGTAAAGGGCAAACGATAAGTTCGGAGGTAAGCTCAAAGGCCAAAAGGAAAAAGCTTGACTTACTCTCAAATAATAGGAGCACGCGGTTGTTGCTGGGCACTTGGATTGTCCAGCGACAGTCGGAGTTGTTGCGCACATTCTCCGGATAGAAGGGGTTGGTGAAGATGCCCTCGGTATTGTAGAGCTGGCCGCCGCAACCGGGTCCCGCCTCGACGGGGCTGGCCAGGAAGGTCAGGTCCAGTGTGCTTAGGTACGAGCCCGTCTTAATGTGCAGCCGCAGCTCGTTCGTCTGGCTAAAGAGACTCTTGCCCGCATCCACGTAGGAGCAGATGCGCATCAGCGACTGGTTGTTCCTGTCGAACACCTGCATGTTCTCCTGATCGCAGTCAAATGATCCGAACACCAGCTCCGCCTGGTACAAGCTGAGCGTGTAGTTGGCTGGCGCCCGTATATAGACGTCGCAGTCCGACGTTTCCGATAGCCGCACTCGTCCCTGCAGCCCACTGTAGTGGCGCTGACAGTCCGAATCCATAAACACACGGATCTGGAAGCCGGGTCGTGTCACCGCACCATTTGTGCGGAACTTTACATACACCTCGTGCGCATTCGCATAGTACGTGTCCGGCTTTCCGGCACCGCAGTACACATGCTCCGTGGCATAATTCATCATGTTGCTGCGGGATGTTTGACCGTTGACGATAAGCTCACTGCCATAGCCCTGCTCCACCATGAGGGCATCCTGCAAGTCAGAAGAAGAGAGAGAGAAGACCAGAGAGTGACTAAATTTCAGTAGGCAAAGCTGCACACTGAAGGCCAAAACGGTTCTTGCTTCTCTGCTGCTGCAGCAGCCGAGCTTTTGTGCATGGGCCACCCCCACGAAGTTGCTGCGCTGCCGCTGCAGCAGCCGAGCTTTTGTGCATGGGCCACCCCCACGAAGTTGCTGCGCTGCCGCTGCAGCAACCGAGCTTTTGTGCATTGGCAACACGAAGTTGCTGCCCTAAAAATCTTTTTCTATGCCACGTGACCGGACAAGGACTTCTTTTTAAAGTCAAAGGAAATTAAAAGAACCAATTTATCGTATAGTTACCTCACTGTTGTAGATTTTCAGATAGTCGGCCACACAGCTCCCATTGGCATCGGGCCCCTCCAAATCGAAGCTGATGAACTGAAGATTCAGAGCCGCATCGCCAACAATCTTCCAGAAGCAAGCGACACCGTTGTCGTAGTTGCCGCCGGATTCCGTGGAGGGAGAGCTGAGTGTGGTCTGCTTGAGACCGGCGGACTCCAGCTTGATCTCCGGACTGCCGCACAGCCGCGGCTTGCTGCTGACGGTCAGCTCGAAGCCGGAGTCATTGATGGCGGAATTTGTGAAGAAGCGCAGGAAGAGTGTGTGACGGGATGTGGTGATGGTTGGCGGCTGATCCTGGCCGCAGAACTTGCCAATGAGCTCCGAAAAGGGTCCGGCCCCGTCGCGCAGCTCAACAAAGTCCTTGCCGCAGTCGTCGCCCTGCTCCACATGGAAGGTGGGGAACTCCAAGCTGAGCTGCTGATCGGCCGGCGCATTGAACACAATGTTGCAGTCCAGGTTGTGCTCGTAGCCCTCCTGGCTATGGAACTTGCTGAACACATACCTGCTGGAGCCGTTCATCCGGATATGCTCGTCGCAGTTGCGCAGCACGCGCACCAGCGCACGGAATCCTCGCGAGGGATCACGTTCATCGGAGAAGCTGTGGATCAGAGCACGTTGGCTGCCAATGCTGATCGTGGGCAAATCTTCGGTGATGCGCCCACAGAAGCGTCCCGCACGCATCCTCTCATTCGGCACCGCCCCAGCAAAGACTTCCACGCCGTCGTAGGCGCAGTTGGAGTTCGCCTCAAAGTCGATGAGCTCAAACCGGATGGTGAACTTGTGGCCCTCCGGCGCTGTCAGATTCCAGTAGCAGTCGCTGCTCGGCGGCAACATGTTGTCCGTGTGCTGCCGGGGCGAGGCCACCGCTCCCGTCTCGCTGATGACGCCACCGCATAGTCGGGTGCTGTACACCAGCCGGAAGCCGCGACCGTTGTAGCTGCTGTCCGTGCGCAGTGTCAGATCGATGGACTGCTTGGCCCGGTACTCGTGATTGTGCTTCACACCGCATATGGTGGCCTGCTGCACGTGATCGCCACCATCTCGGGTGACCACGGTGACGTTGTCGAATGGACAGACATTTATGGGAGCCTGCTCCAGATCGAACTGCAGGAAGCTGACCAGAACGCCAGCGGCGTGCGGATCCAGCGGCACGAATGTCCAGCTGCACTTGAGGTTATGCTCATAGCCCGGGTAGCCGGGGCTCGTCAGCTCCTGTTCGGCGTCTGTGGCATAGAGAGTGCCGCCACAGTTGCGATCGAATTTGGCCACGAATCCGTCGCCAACCACATCGCCATCGGAGCGAAAGATGAGCCGCATAAAGGGCGTTGTGGTGTTGATCTGCTGCGGCGGTGCACGGCCACATATCCTCTGCAGATCGGTCCAATTGCCAGCGGAATCGTTGCGCTGTTGCACCAGCAGATAGTCCTTGGTGCAGCCGGTGCTGTCCTCGATGTAGAAGCGCGACTGGAAGGAGAGTCCAATGTGATAGCCCGGCGAAGATTCCACCTCCCACACGCACTCCACATTGTTCTTGTACTGCTCGCTGAATTCGACATGCCGATACGGATAGCTGAGCTTCCCGCCGCATCCCGAGCCGTACTTGATGGACACATTGAAGGTGGAGTTGGCCTCGTACCGATCCGCATGGTACTCCAGGAACAACCCACGCTCCACCACCAGATTCACGGCCGATGCCTGGTCACAGTACGTGCCCAGCGATGGGGAGTTCTGGTCCGGTCCGTTGTACACCTTCAGGAACTGCTTATGACAGGCGCCTGCGCCTCCAGCTCCAGCTGCATTTGGTAGATTCACTGTGAGCGACACCTCCAGCTGAATGTCCGACACCTGAAGCGATGGTCCATCCTCTCCGCTCGCATCCATGTCTGGTCCAATGGCCCAGGCACAGTCGATGGCCCCGGCCACATTACGCATGCCAAAGGGCTCGCGGATGGTCAGATTATCGCCCGGCTCCAGGGGCCAAATGCCGCCACACGACTGCATGCTGTAGCCAAGACGCAGCTGCCTCAGCTCGTTGCGTACGCTGGCCGAGACGGTCATCTGAATGGGGAAGGGCACGCGAAC